TGGGGAAAATATTCGAAAGCTTGTTAGAATTCACCAGTAAAGCCTTTGGGCCTGGAATTTTTGTTGTTGGGAGTTCTAATTATTAATTTTATTTTCCAGTAGTTATAGATTTCCTCAGACTTTCTGTTCCTTTATGATGTTAGTCTTGACCTGTTTCTAGGAATTTATTCATTTTTTTAGGTTATAAAATGTATAGGTAGTTATTCATAATAGTCCTTTTTGATTTATCATAATCCTACATCATTAGTTACAATGTCTTTTCTTTCATTTCTGATTTGAGTAATAATTTTTTTAGTTTAGCTAAAGGTTTTATTATATTTTTAAAAAACTTCATTGATTTTTAATATTGTCTTTTAAATTTATTCCTCATCTAATCTTTATTTCTGCTAAGTTGATTGAGCAGAATTTAATCTTTCTTTTAATTAAACATTCCTATTTGGACCTTGGAAGGTGACAATGATTAATTTGTTTCTTGAAAAAATCTTTCTATGGAAATTTTCATGTAAAATATTGAGGAATAGACTCTCCAGTAGGGGGTGCACAAGCACTACATATATGATTGTAGAAGGAAAATAAAAGTAATAAAAAGTGTTCTTGAGTCTATCTGTTCTTTTACTTTCTATTAATTTTTTTGTTTTGCTAAAAATTAAATAGTACATTTATTTTGTAGAGAATGAAAGATTTCTAGATAGAAAAAAAGTAAGTGCCTTTTTTGTAGTCATTAATGGAAAGTATCATAGTTAAAGAACAACTGAATTAAAACAAAACTTTCCGTTTACTTTTAAGTCAATTAACTATTTAAAATCATATATAATTTTTGGTTATAGTCATTATCTATACAGAATTTATTCGACAAATATTCAATGAACACACTAGTTAGATGGCAGAAATAAGAGAAACACCCTGGATTTAGGAGAAACTCTGAATTGGGGAAACTGCATAAAAGCACCATGCAGGGGGACAATTTCTATAGTAAATATATGGAAAAACTGCTTTAAAAGTCTATAAAGGGAACCAGAGTATAAGTACAGAAGTTGAGGCACTAGCCTTGCATGTGGCTAATCTGGGTTGAATCCCAGGTACCACATACGTTTTCCTGCACACTAGGAATGGTTCTTAAACACAAAACCAGAAGTAATTCTTAGCATAATTGATGTGGCACACCTTCTTTCCCCCAACACTCTAAAAAAAAAGCCTAGAAAGTTTGAGATTATCTATGGCAAGAGAGGTTGTCATAGAGAAGAGGTCAAACATAAACATATATTTGTTTCCGAATAACTGCTTCTATCCTAACCAAGTCTTCCAAATGTCTGTATTTGGTACTCATCACCCTGTGTATTTACTCTGTGTTACTGTGTTACTATCTCTTCTGGAAACCACAGGAGAGCCGTCTATCAACAGTCAATAATTTTAACATGACACCTACCTGGTGTATTCTAGTTTTCCTAGTCTTTTCTTAGTCTACTTCTGGATGAAGAGACACACAGAAAATTAGTTTAACTGAGTGAAGAAAGGGGGTTTGAAAGTGAACAGCTGAAAAAAAAATCATTTCAGAAGTGAAAAAAAGTAAAAGAAAATATTCAGAAGTAAGAGTCACCCTGTAAGAAGTCAGTTACTGGAATCCCATTTAACATCACATCACTCTGCTGAACTGAGTTGTGAGTTACTGTGAGTTCTGTGTCACAGAGAGCTTTACTTCAGTTATGTTTCTTAAAGTGAACCCAGATTGTGAGAGAGTATGCTTGTTTATGGGAAAACAAGCCACCTTGCTCTTAGATGCTCTGAATGGGTGTGTAAAGGTGAGCGTAGATATGATTAAGTGTATGCATTTAGTTGAGTTAGAGTCAGGTATCTAGAAAGGAAAAGAGTTCATAAAAAGATAAGTCCAGTTCTAGGACTCCATGGCTGTTTCACACTCCCTCTGAGCAGTTCTGGGCAGTTTTGAGAGTTTGAGGATATCATAGTGCTAGTTGGAGACATCAGAAATCTGTACAACCTTACTCACCAAGTCTCTACAAGGACTGGTCCTTTTGAATGTAGTCAATTTATTTTTTAAAGCATAGAATAAAAGGGAATAAAAGGAAGAACCCGATTTGATGTATACATCAACACTTCTTTTTACTATTTTCAGTGTAATAGTCACCAGCGGGAAGGCGGGGAGCTTGAAGAAAAGAAACACCTTGATGTGGATTTTAAAATACCAGGGAACTAACGGAAAGGCAATTTAGATGTGTATTTAAGTATTTTGTAAATATTTTGTGTCACTGTTTCTTTAGTTTTTGTGAGAAAATTTCAGAAAGTACAAGGGAGGTTTTTGCATTTTTAAATGAAGATGTGGTGGTTATTAGTTCATTAAGGGAAGAAAACTGAAAGAATTCCTGATTGTTCTGTACTGATTTTGGAATAATAGAATGATAAATGGAATTTAAGCTCAACATAAGAAAGGCAATGCTGCAGGAGCAGAGATTTTCAATAACTATGTTTATGCATTATGACAGCTTATAAATTAAAGACCCAGCAACTCTTAAGAAAAGCAGTCATCACTAGGGAAATATAACAGAGGTGTCTGCACTATAGACGGGGGAGTTTGGACATGATGCTATATTGAAAATGGAAGAGCAGGTAATTTTATGTGGTGTGTTTTTTATGTTCTTTAAAAAGCAAGAGCAAACCCCATTTGAAGGCATGATGACACAAAAGTGATCACACACGAGATGATAAAAGTATAGGTGGCAAATTATATTGGTGATAGATTCAAATATAAATAAAACCACTGCCTTTCAAATTCTTGGTGCAGTTATGGTGCACTGGTTTTTGAAAGAGACCAGGTAAGCTAAACTGATTATAGATTACTGGAGAAATAAAAAGCAAGACATAAAAATGAATTTAAAAGTTAAAATGAGAAAAGTCAAACATATCTCATGAAACTCATAAGCTTAGGAAATTTTTAAGAGACCTCAAGCCCATTCTACACCCAAAAACCTCCAATGGAGACATTTAAAAGCCATTCAACTCCCCACCACCAGCCTCTTTTTCCTCCTCTCTGTTGAAGGGCAAATAAATGCCTTCTAGCTACAAACTAGTTCGATTTTGTTTGAAATTAGGTTTCATGCGAACATGAATAAGCTTGAAGAAATGTCCTCAAAGATAATAATCGCTCGCCCTCTTCTGCCGCAGTGGTTTGTTTTGCTTTTCTGCTTGGAGAAAAGCCCCTGACGTGTTCCTCACAGTGGCAGCTGTGAACACTGGCCCACCATTAAGGAATTTCTTTCTATTTAAAACATTTTTTCTTTTCTGAATTGTGAGGGAAAAAGAAGATAGTAATCTCATAAACCCGGATTAGAAACCTAATTTACCAGCAGATTGAGATAGTAACCCTCGTTTATCTGGAAAAAAAATAGGACTAATTCCCACCATGATGAAGCAGAATATTATTATTCAGCACTCAGATCAATATATTTTGAGGTTTCCGTTCCTTTTCTTTTTCTTTTAATCCACTAGGGCCTAACTAGAAAGGGAAACATATTTGATTATTTTTAGTCTTAAACTAAAGAAAGCACGACTGGCTTTTAATAAAAGCTTTAAATAAAATGGAGTGAAGTCAGTCTCACAAATAATAAAAACCAGCCACTCTGACAAGGTTTGAATACCAAAGGGATTTTAGGCGATAGGCGTTAAATCAACATACACGGCCAGGTTTCTTCCGCAGAACATGAGAACTGGTCATGTCTTTGCTTATTGCAAGATTTCCAGAATACCACGGGCAAATTAACCCTCATTTCAACAAATTGGGCTTTGAAGTCTGAAAATACACGCAGTCGGTCTATTCTCTGAGCCCAGAGGCCTGGTTTTAGATGGCCGCAGGGTTGGGCAGGAGGGGGGTTGAGCCCCCCTGAGCTCCTTCCCCAAAGCCCCCGGCAAGTCCCTTACCACAGTCCCCTGCTCCACCTTGGTGCCCGGACCTGTAGACTCCCTCCTTCTCCTTTTTCCTTTCTTCTCCTGGGCTCCCACCCCGACCCCACCCCACCCCCATCCGCGGCTTCTCCTTTTTCCCCAGCTTCGTTTTCCGCTAGAAGTGGTCAAAGAGGAGGTGGAAATATCTATGTGTTGCTTGGTGCAGTTTTCCAAATTAATTAATGAAGGGGAGAGTGGGGGGGGGGGGGTTTGGTTTGCAGAAATTCTTCCCCAGGTCTCTGCTTCTGCCAGGGAGCCTGAACATCCGCAGTTCCCCCCACTTCTCCCTCCCCTCCAACAGTCGTCTGCGACAGTGGGGAGGGTAGGGGGTCCTCTCGGAAGGGGGGCGGTGGTCTTCGAGGCTCCTTGCAAAAGAACAGCCTGGAGCAAAGCGGTTGAGGAGGGGGGGGGGTCCCGGGAGGCGCGAGGAGCCCGCCCCCGCCCCGTGGGGAGGCGCGGGAGCGGCGGGCCGGGCCCGTCCGGCGTGGGCGGGGGGGAGCGGGTGTCGGGAGCCCGAGGGGCTCGGGCAGCGTCCGCAGGAGGCGGGGGCGGCGGGGACGTGGCGCGACTGCCGCAGGGGAGCGTCGGCGGCGGCGGGCGCGAGGGGCGGGGCGCACTCCGCAACTTCTGCCACTGCCTCCCCTGCGCTCTCGTCCGAGGCGCGCACTGCTGCGGAGTGCGGGCGCCGGGCGGTGGTGTCGCCCGCGAGCCCGCGCGCTCCAGCCCTGCGTCGTCGTCGGGCGCTGGAGGCGCTTCCTTCGGGGGAGTCCGCGCGGCTGCCCCGCTCGCGCCTCGGAGCCCGGGACTTGGCGGAGCCTCGAGGCTCTGCCGCGGCTCCCCGCAGCGCGCTGCGGGCGATCGGGCGGGTGCACTCGGAAGGCAGGGAGAGGAGGGAAGCCCCCTCGGCGGCGGCCAGCACTGAGGGTAGGGGCGCGGGTGATGGGCAAGTAGCTCAGGGGCCGGCCGAGAGCGCGAGCGCAGTGTAGCGGTCCCCGGACCTCGCCAGCCCAGTCCGCGCCTAGCTAGGGCCAGGGAAGGGACGCAAGATGCCCCATCTGCGCCTCGACGGCGCCGAGGAGGTGGCGAGCTCCACCTTGCTGCCGCAGCTGCTGAACGAGGTGGCCAACGCCACCGAGACCCCAGCCCCGACCTGGGACCCACCCACAGACAATGCCTCGGGCTGCGGGGAGCAGATCAACTACGGCAGAGTCGAGAAAGTTGTGATCGGCTCCATCCTGGCGCTGATCACGCTGCTGACGATCGCGGGCAACTGCCTGGTGGTGATCTCGGTCTGCTTCGTCAAGAAGCTCCGCCAGCCCTCCAACTACCTGATCGTGTCCCTGGCCATGGCCGACCTCTCGGTGGCCGTGGCGGTCATGCCCTTCGTCAGCGTCACCGACCTCATCGGGGGCAAGTGGATCTTCGGGCACTTCTTCTGCAACGTCTTCATCGCCATGGATGTCATGTGCTGCACGGCCTCGATTATGACCCTGTGTGTGATCAGCATCGACAGGTAAGGGCCGCTTTCCCCGGGTCCCCGGGTCCTGGGGAGGGGCAGGGGTGCGGGCTGAGCCCCGCGCGCTCGCCTCCGCTGCGAGGATGCGCTAGACTTGCAGGCGGGATGGAGGGCTGCGCTTGAAAGAGCGATTCCCACACCTCGGCCCCGAAAGCAGCCCCCGAACTTCACTTTATTGCATGATCTGCATGCCCCTTTCCGAGGAGAGCCCCCCAGTGTTCTGATTTCCCGTGAATGTGGGTTTTGAGATGAAAGTTAGAGTCTTTGAAGCGTTCGGAATACCAACAGGCGGTTCCCAGGCTTGGTTTTTCCGAAGGAAGGGGTTTGAGCCTCTCCAGTTGGAAAAATCCTTGCTACGAGAAATTTCTTTAAGAAATGACTTGAATAAAAGCCAGGGGCTCCCCCTAATTGTGGGACCCCCCAAAACCGATGAAAAGAGCTAAAATGGTCTCAGAATTGGGTTCTGATACTGCCTGAATAATGGACTGCGGTTTTTTGGTGAATCAATCAATCATGGCTTGGGGTTTGGGTGGTGACTTAATTATTTATTTATTTATTTATTTATTTGTTTGACGCCTGGTTTTAGTATTTGGCAATGGTGACTGTATACTGCAGGTTTTCTGACTGGAGACTTACGACGCCCTGTCTGATGGTTGGTTCTAGTCTCATATGGTAGCTTTTGGGAATCTTCTCTTGAAACCTCCCCCACTGGAGTAATTGTAGCAAAAACTGACCATCTGTCAGGGATTCTGGGGGAGAAAAATTCCTGGCTTGGCTGTCATATTGGACTGGGAGACCCCAGGATTTCGTCAGACTATCAGATTACTGAATTTTGGAATGCAGCTAGTATTTGGCCCTAGAAAAATGGTGCAGTTGGTAACTTGAAGCACAGCTCCATTGCTCTTTGGCCATTGAACACCTCTTTACCTCTCTTAAAATGGGTGTATTAATTACCATTTTCACACTCAGAATTCTGCTGGTTTTAAAAATCTGTCCAGGAGAATTTCCTCTTGTGTTTAATGGCACAGAAAAATGGTTCCTTTTTTTCCTAGTGGAGTACTGCACCTGTAGATGTGTAGATCTTTTAGCATAGGAGGAATAATTGATGACCCCACCCTGAAAATGACAGTGCCTCAAAGGATGATCCAGCATGAAATTGAGTTTCCTCCTTTTTTCTTCTCATAAACACTGATATTTGTGGCTTGTTGATATTTAACATGCCTTGCTATGTCACTTAGCATACTTAATTGTTTTTAGAATAAAGACAATGAAACTAAAGGTGTGTTTTCAATGAAAATAAGAAAGTAGCTGCATTTAAAGATCTAGATTATTTGAAAAAATTATGCTGCCATTTTATTATGGTAGGAGCTTCTAATAGCAAACAAGCAATTATTTTTAAGAGTGATGTATGAATTACATATATGAGAATATTAGCTACAAATTTGACAACTGAGGCTCTGAATGACGGTAATTAAAAATGACAGAAATGCATATATTTTGTCTGACTGTGGTAAAAGGACTAGGAGAATGCGTCAAATATATACATAGTAAGTATATACATGAATACTAAGTACAAAAATCCACCTGTTCAGCCAACTGAAGTGGTGCTTTTTACATGAATGAAGCTCTTTTACATGAAACTTATTGTAATAAAACATTAAAATTTATGTTGCAAATAATGTGTCTGGATTCTTTTGTTTCATAATTGATCTGTGATAAATGTACAATGTGCTAATTTATTTCCGAAGGTATCCAGTGTTTCTTCTAGACACCTCAAGGTTCCTGTACGTGACCTAAAGGATTTTTTCGACTGGTGTTCATATGAGACTTAGCTAAAGCAGGAATTCTCTACATTCAGGGAAAATGTTAACCTTTTTTTTTGGTAGGAGCTTCTAATTTGTTCATTAATATATTCTCTTGAGTGTCACAAATTGTGGTAACACAGAAATAGAGAATTTCTCCATTTCCTATAAGAATTACTCCATTGGTGAATTTTGCTTGACATTTGCTTTAGGATATTACCATGTAATTTCTTTAAAAAGAATGAAGTATAGATAACATGGGGTGATAAAAATTTTTCTTTCTTCTAAGAACACATAGAAATAAAAATGAGAACAAGGAAAATTGATATATGGTCAATTTGATAACAAAGATGAATTTATTTCTGAAAAGGTTGCTTTCTTCATTTTCATGGGATTATATGGCCAATAATTAAAAATGTGCTAAGAAAATAAGAAAAAACTCATCTTCATTCACTTATTCATTCCACTTGAGTACTCAGTACAGTTTATGCTCTATGCAGCATAATCAATGAATAAAACTATTCCTGCTTTGAAGCTCATATTGTATTGTGAGAATTTAGATATCAGTTGGACATTTAACTTGTTTAAATTGGCACCTACAAATTTTTTTCCTTTTATTTTTTTCTTTCCAATACTAATTTTACTGGTCTGCGTTTCCAGCTTTTTCCAATGCAGTGTTATATGCCATTTGTCTTCTCAGACTTCAACACCCTGTCTCCACCCTTTTCAGATGATGACTCATGTTCATTGAAAATGAAGAGAACTTTGGATGGGAGCTCCCTTAATTTTCCACCACCAATATTTGTTGCATCTGAAACCTTTTAAATATAAAAATACTTAAAATTTAATTCTTTTAATTTTATTTAAAAAGCAAGAAAGCACCTGCCCCAGCCAAAGCAAAACCCTACACTTCGAATCCTATCTCCCTCTCCCCACCCCTTTTTTTTCTTTCATGGATCCCTCATCTTCTGTCTTAAGAATTTAATTTTTATTAGATCAAACTTTATCTTTTATCATTGTGGATCCCTAAACTCAGCAGAGCTGAGAATGACCAAAGCTGTTTACCTGGCAGTGCTGGCAGGGGGTGGGGGTTTGGGGCTTGGGCTGCTGGGGTTTGATCCCAGAACCCTGAACATGCAGATCATGTACTTTGCTATTTCATCTGCTTCTCTGGCCCTTAATTTTTCAACCTTTAAAAGCCCCCTACCTTTTTTCAGTCTTTTAAAGGGTGTTTTAGGTGGCTCAGAAAGCCCCTTGCAGCAACCGGTGATTCATAGCTGGGGGCTGAGACTGGTGCATCAGGTTCCGCACTGCAGTGCTTGGGGGGCCTCCAGAGCCACACCCACTTTTCTAGGGAGGCCATTTTGTGCAGGGGAAGAAACCTGTAAAAGCCCTTCTTTAGCCTCACTTCTTTTTTAGTTACTGATCCCCTTCACAGTTGAACTGTTCAAAGAACTGCCCCAAACCTCTTTTTATTTCTTAACCCCTCAGACAGATGATTTTGGCACTCACTAGGTCTAATTACACAATTTTAACCAGACCTCTTTGTTCCACTTCTGTCCATTCCTCATCAGTGCCTATGAAGAAGCTATTACTATTATCACCTGTTTGTTAAAAAGTCACTTTAAGGGTGGGGGGTTGGCAGAAAGATAGCACAGGGAAGGGGTTAAGTGCTTTAACCCCTTACCTTGCAGGCATCTGACGCTGAGCCCATCTCTAAAATCATCAGGTGTGACTTTTGAGTGCAGAGCCAGAAATAAGCTTTGAACACCACTGGGTGTGGCCCAACCCTTTACAGTCCAGAAAAATTAAGGTAGAAATTAAAATTAAATTTAAATTAAAAATTAAAATTACATTTACCTATACTGAAATACACAGTATTAACTCAATAATTTAATGATTTTTGAAGAATATATACATTTATATGACCATCATTCCTTTGTGGCCCTGGGGCAACTCCTGGAGATTCTTGACTAACCAGGAAAGACAATTTATGACCAGGGCCAAAGGCTATGAGGCTGCTCTGCCCTGTGGTTTCAGGGAACATCAGGGAAGCCCTGGTGGTGTGGAGGGATCTCTGAGACTTCACCCAGTAATGCTGGGGTGCCATGAGGTGCCAGGGATCCAGCCAGGACTGGGCTCATGAAAAGGCTTGTGCTTGAGCCCTATACCATTTCTCCAGCCTTCTAGAAGGATCTTTTAAAGGTAGTGACCAAACCCCAGCACTGCTGGAGTGGCCCTGGTGGTGGCTGACAACACAGGGCCTGAGCAGACCTGCATCCTGTGCCCTTGCATTGAATTCTCAGATTCAGTGGATGAGGATCTCCTTGAATGGCCCCCACCAGCTCCCTGAGCGTAGCTTGGGAGGCTTCCCCTTCAGAAATAAAAATAAAAAATCACAAAAAAGAAATTACATCACCTCCTTTTTGGTATGTAGTTTTATGGGGGAGTCACAACTGGTGGTGCACAGGGATTACTTCTGGCTCTGTGCTTAGGATCATTCCTGGGGTACCTTAGAGACCAGGGATGGAACCAGGGTTCTCTGCATGCAAGACAAGTGTCACACCAGGTGTACCATTGTTCTGACCCCAAATTACCTCTTACATAGTTAAAATATTAAAAACAATTACACATATTAGGAAAACTTTAAGAAAAATCATGAAATAGTATAGAACAGTGTCTCAACCAAGAGGCCACATGGTGCCCCTCTGGGCCCCCGCCCTATTCCAAGGGGGAAACAGGTAAGTCAGGTAAGTGGAAGACACTGCAAGGGACTTGGGGCAAACCAGAATGAGGGTGGGGGACCTAGGGCAGAACACAGGAAGGGAAAATGATTGGAAGGGAGCCATGGTCAGAAAAAGGTTGAAAAACCTTAATATAGAGGAATGATGAACACTTCATTTCAAAAGTGTCTGTCTCTGGTGAGGTGGTGTACTTAGGGAGTAATACACATATCAACTATATAGGTAATGTTTTATTTATTAATATTGATTGTTGATGCCATCTTGTTATCTTTATATAACTTTTTGTATGACCAAACATTTTAAAATTTTGTTTCTAATATAGAAACATATAGAATCTACATATAGAATAGTAGATAACCTGGGAGAGAACTTGAATTTCTGTGGATGTTTGTGGAACATCCAAGTAAACATATTATTGTAATCTGAAATTATATCAGGAAATAGAATAACC